GACTTCATTAGTCTGCCTGATCTGCTCCCCACTCTGTCTCTGGTGAAGCCTCTCGCCGCCCCTGCACCTCTGGCTTGTACCCCAGCTCTGTATGCATAAATAAATAAATCTTTTAAAAAGAGAGAGAGTAAAGGTTAAAAAAAAGAGAGAGAGTAAAGGCTTGGGCAAGGCCTCTGAGAAACATATCAACATAACATGCATGCCAAACAAACTTTTGTTTGGGAGGGGGCGGGGGGGAGGGAGGCTTTTTTGTTTGTTTTGGTGTTTGGTTTTTTTTTGTTTTGCTTGGTGGGTTATTTTGTGTTTTTAGGCTTTTTTCTTTTTTGCTTTTAAAAACAATGGAGTGGTTAATTTGATTCTAACCATGCTGAGCAGAGGTATCAACACAGATGGCTCAGTGAGGTTGAGTAATTTTTTTAATAAACATCTTTAAAAGGTTTACAGACAAAGAATGTCCATTTTTTAAAAGTGGCATTACATCTTGTCTTCCACAATGAAATAACTGAAGACCCCCTGCCTTTTCTTTTTCTTTTTTTTTAACTGAAAAAAACATTGGCTGATAATATTTCGATCACCCACACAGACTCCTGAAGAAAGCAAAAGCCACACACCAGTAAGTAAATAAAGGTGTGATCTCTGTATAGAGTCATTCAGTAGTCTCACTTACATGATATTGGTTATATAAGACAGGGACTTTGGGATCTGTTTGGGGTATAAATAAAATCCACAACATATTTAAAAAAAAAAAAACTAAGCAAGATTTTAATTAAGAATTCTGAGAAGATTAAAAAAAAAGGACTAACTTACAAACCTAAACGTATAAGATAATTTTAACAACAATAAAAAAAAGGAGTAATATCTTAAGAACTTGTCACTCTTTCAGTGATATGCCTGAAGGAAAACAGTAAACAGGTCTTTGCTTTTCCTTTACCAGAGAAGAAATTTTGATCTGCAGGTGCCTGTTGGAAAGCGGTGTCCAGGAAGCGCTGGAGGAGAGGGAATTTCTCTGAGAAATCTCTGAGTTCTTTTTCAGCATTTCTGCCCCAGCCTGGTTAGCTTAATCAATTGGCCCCTATTTTCAGCCAGAGGTCATGATTCCAAAGTAGCTAATCAAACAGCCCTTAATAATGTGTTGACAAAATGGGAGCAGCTGCAGGACCTCTATGGAATCTTCTAGCAATTCTCAAACTGCACTTTTTCCTGTATCTGTGTTAAAGACAGAAGTGGAAATCCCTTTGGTAGAAAAGTATCCTCCATCAAAAGCTTCCTCAATCCCATTTCTCAAAGCGCCCTTGGGTCCTGAATGTGCTTCACAAATCTCATTGACTTATGATACAAACAAATATACACCGAGTGCCTACTGAGGGTCAAACACAGTGTACAATGCTAACAATATGCCGTGGCCCTGACTGCCGTGGCCACGCTACAGAGATTACCAACCGTGTGGAGAACGGCAGGTCTCCCAGAGGGGGAATATCATCGCGAGAGTGACAGATAAGGTGGGGAGGCTAGCGAAAGGACATGTAGAAAAGTGCAGTTTCAACTACATTTGACCTATGAGAGGTCTTAGCCTGATGGGATGGAAGAAAGACTTGAGGGCAAGAAGGCAAGAGTTTGCTGAGCTGAGAAACAGCATCTGAAAAGGCTAAATGCCAGCAGATGACTTTGACCAGGAATTAAGGAAAATTCTGGAGCTAAAGCGCTGGTGCGGAAGTAAAGATAGCAAGCAGGAAGACGAGAGTAGGAAAATAAACATGTACTTTATCCCCGAGTCCAAAGAAAACGACTGTGTGGATTTCTCACATCCAAGATTTCAAACAGCCTGGATTTTTATAGCTGTTAAACCTGAACACGGTTCGTCAGGCTTGGCATGAGCTCTGTGTGCCGAATCGCACTCTCAGCACATGATGTGGTGTGAAAATGGTGGATGATGAGTCTCTGGTTTGACCTTTCTCAAGGAAATCTGGGTGGAGCCATTTAAAGCTGCAAAGTCTGATGAAAGGAGGCGTGAGTCAGGGACAGCGTGGACAGCGAAGAAGAAACCCTGCGAGTTGTGATGTGGACTCCCTGGATATATCAAGGAATAACAGAAACCACCCAAGGAAGCCAATGAGTTCAACTGTCACTCCACAGGGAACTGCCCCACATTTCATTTCTATAGAGTCGCTCCCCCTGAACCCCCTCAGTGACAGAAGGCAGGGTGATCCAGCCGTGTCACTGCCTGGAGTCACAACACTGGAAGACTGCGTCCTAGGGCCTGACTCCTTGATCTGACACACACACACACACAGCCCTGGTGTCACCTGGGGCAATTTCTATGATCTCTCTGAGCCTTAGTCTCCCCAAATTTCAAAACAACTACTACATCTGAGGTAGTGAAAAAGAACATGGATGAAGGTATCTGGAATATTCAGCTTAGAGCAGGCATTTGATGAGAGCCAGTTCTCAGTAGGAAGCCACGAGCTCTGTTACCTCTCAGCGTCAGGCTATCTGAGACAAAGTAAGGAACAGGAAAGGTAGAATACGAAGCTTGCTCATTAGACTTAGGTGCCTGGGGAGCCACTTTGTTGAATCTGAATTTCTTAAGTGGCAGAAAGTAAATAGATGTTCTTAGCTGGAGGGCTTATGTCTGGCTTTTATTTCACAGTTGACATTCACACAGCTAGCAGGAATATGACTGTTAATTAAGTATTCGTTGAGTAGCCTTTTTTCCTCATATATGTAATTAAGAGGTCTGTGTGTTACAGAGAAATTCTTCTCTACACACATATGCATATGTGTGTGGAGACTTTCTCTGTAACACAGCCTTAGAGTTAGGCAATTGGAAGTCTTTCTGTTCCATCTCATTAGTTTAGTAGGCTAATTCTGTGGGCAGATAGCAATAAGTTTATTCTGCATTCGATGCTGCTAATCTAAGTGTATTCTAATAGGCACTTGACTACGTGAATTTATGCCCGTGTGTGGGGCAAACCAAGGCAGGGGTCAGGACAGAGGTGTCGGAGCATGTTACAGTATCTCTTTTCCTCCGGCTTTTCTCAGCCAGCACTGATGCTCCTGTGAAGCACAAGACATCTACCACCTAAAAGAGGCCATTCATTGCTCCTCTGCGAAAAGCAAGAGCCCAGTGAGCTGACTAGGACAAAGCCAAATCTGTACATGCATGTCTCAGGGTGTGTGTGATCAGGTGAATGGGACCTTAACTAAAGGGCTGCCTTTAATTACTAGGATGAAGAGAGAGCCCGAACATCTGTGCAAATTTGATTGAATGAGAAGATGGATGTCCTTTGTCTATCTGAGCTTGGTGCTTTGCCACAGATGTGCCAGCATCTTGCCTTTTGAGAACCCGCTGGAAATTCCTGGAGAGCTTTTCCAAGGCAAATCAGTAAGTCCTTTCTGTTTATCAAAGATGCAGATGACTATCACTTACCACACTTATTTTAGATCGAGTCTAAAATAATATGAATCCAGAGAGAGAAATTATATTAACCTCATTACTTCCTAAAGAGAAAGTTGTATTTACTTAGAAAAAATCCTTTAGGCTAGAAAGGGAGACCATGCCCTGGGTACCTTAGTTTGGGTTAAAGTAGTCTATGCTCATCTAGGTGACAGATGCTTTCAGGAAAGAAGAATGAGAGAGAGAATAAGGAGAATTAGAAGACTATACATGCCACGAGGTGATTCTCTCTTTGGGCCTTCCTGAATTTGGAAAACTTGTGAAAACTCACCAAAGTTTAGAAGAAACATAATTTTATGAAGTGTGCTGAAAAGAGCTGGACCGTTTTCTTGAGGTGAGACCCAAGCAATGACGCAGGAAGAAGTGGGGGCTGGGGGAAGGAGAGAGCTCTGGCCCAAGTTCTGGGATCAGCTTTGGGGCCAGTTTAATCAACTCCACAAGACAAGTGCCGGGGGATAATGGATCACAGATTTTCTGCTGGTGGCCAGTGAATGTAAGTTTATCAAGTAAAAATGTTGCCCACAAACTCTAGGTAGCACTTCTCTCACATTCGTAAAGGCACATGCTCTAAAGCTCTGTTGCTTGAGGATGGAATGTACGTAAGTCATTATTAAAGGCTAGTGGCACATTAAGAAAGATTTTTTCTGTCTTATGAGCAATTCCTAGTCCCCTTCATTGAACAAAGGACAGGTGGCCATTGCTGGTCTTCACAACACCCCAAAGAGAAATTCAAGCTTTCCTGAGACAAGCTATCAACTACGACTAGTAGAAGGAGCTTTTATATGAAATTTTTCTACTCTCATGTTTAACATCAATTGTTTTCGAAATTTGTCAAGTCATAAAGAGCTGCACAACTTCTACCAATAAATAAATGTATTTCTAAGCCTATCAACAGGAACGAGCCTGTGAAGCCAAGCAAAAAGGTAAACACGTATTCAAGATAAATTAGCAAAATTTCAAGCGTTGCCCAAGGAGCCGTGGTTCAAGGCCATCTCTAAACATGACAAGCAGCAAGAAACATCAGACACCTTCACAAGGCAGGCACACTGGTTAGCAATTCCAAAACCAACCCGCCTGACAAAGAAGGTCAAAGGGAAAAAGAAGGTGAAGGAGAAGAGGGTATATACAGCGTTGAGAAGTGAATCCATTCAACTCTTTATCAGTCTTAAAGTATATTCACCCTTTATAACAGAGACCTTAACAAGGTCAAGTTCCCACATCAAACACGATCCAGGCATATTCTCAAACAATTAAAACCTTCTGTGAAATGGTAACATTACTGTAACCCAGAGCCCAGAGCACCGCTACAAAATTGCACACCCTTCTCCCACCAAAGATTGGTCTAGCATGATTGTTTTCTCCTTAGAAGATAGCAGAATAACCTACCAAGCTGTTGGACCAAAAACAGTAGCTCACTTACTTACTGGCGCTGTTGCAAGTCCCAGAAATGAAACTAAAGTTTCCCATAAGGGTCACCTGCTCCACAAAGATCTTGAGCCCACCTTTGTTAAAGAGTTCTGGAAGGGGCTTGGGACAGTGGACTCACCATCTGACTGCTGTACCAATATAGCGACGAGCCCTTCAGCACCACCCAGAACTTTTTCCATTTGTTGCTCAGGAACGTTCCCTTTTCCTTTTTCTTAAACAGCCACCCTTGGCAGTCAGCATGTCCCAGGTCTTTGCATGATATCCTCCTCCGACTCATGCTGAAAAAACCTGCAACAATTATATGAAAAGGTGGGTGAGTAACACCTGACCTATGTGATGGGGTGAATGGTAACTTCATTGCTTACCTCCTGGAAGTTGGATTATTTTTGCCAAAAAATTATGCAAAGTCAATGTTAAAAATATCCTCTTTTATTTTCATTTCCAGCATGCCTTTACTGCTTAGAAGGGACAAGGTCTGCCCAGAGAAATTGAGGCTACTATGCAAATGTTCGTCTGAGACTATTACTGAACAAGAAGTTGAAAAAATTAAAATCCCAGGCTGGCAAGCACATGGTGGCCGCGACACAGCTCCTTTCCAGAGCAGCCGCTGTTATGCAATAGCTGGGAAGGGTTAATGCCCCCCTACAAACACAGGCACTTCTGTGCCAGTTTTTCTTAGCTCTATTGATATGCCACGAGGGATTCGTCCCAATGAGCAGCATGCCATCATTTCTTAACGTCAATCCAAAAATAACCCCCCAAAATAATCTGCCGTGCACCTCCTGACATTACATTAAGACGGACAGAAATCCGATCCCGCACACGGCATCCAAGACAGAACCACACTCACGCACACAAAGGGGGATAAGAAACAAAAGAGATCTAATTACCTTGAGTTTTCTTTCTCGGCTTCTGACGCAAAGGAACCTGCTGAAAATGCAGGAAGGAAAGAAAAGAGGAAATTTCTGATTGTGTGGTAACATTTGTAAAGAGAGAAGGAGGGAGGAGGTGGCCGTGTTTATGAGCAGGATGGAATCTAAAAAAAAACTCTCCAAGCAGCGCTAACGGGGAGCTACTAGCTGAGGCACAAAATGTGCTAATTAGAATCAATAGACATTGAACTGAACCTGAAAAAAAATATGTAACACAGCATTTATCACCAATGTTTCCTGTTTCCACCCACAGGCAGCTCTCACTGCTACTTCAGTTAAGACAGGACCACGCTCACTGAAGTTCTTTAAAATAATGCAATAGTTCACCTTTTATTTTTTTGTGAGAGAAGATTAAAAAATGACCTGGCTTCTTTTCTTGCAGTTTCTAAATAACAGCGAATCTTTAAGTAAACCTGGAAGACAGTGACAATTTCAGAATATTGCAGGTTTCCACAAGTCTATCAAATCCATGGTCCTATTACCACACAGAGCAACACCTCAGCCATGTGAATTAAATAGCCAGAGAGAAATTCCGCCAGCTCTTCAGGCAAGCTCTCGGTAACTATCACCCTCCTTATCAGGAATGCCTATGTGCAGTCAGGTTTGAATTTCTTTTTCTGTGTTGAAGGATCTGAATACGTCTCATGTTTGCATGGAGCATGAACTAATTATCAACGTTTATTATATACTAGCTCTTCAAATATTCAAATCAGACAGAAGGCAATATATCTGAACTGCACATTTTATACAATATATTTTAATCAGATACTTAATCAGATCATGAGCAAAAACAGTTCTGAAATGCTTTGAAATGGCCCGAGTGTGTGTGTCTGTGTGTGTGTGCACGCACATACGCAGAGAGAGACATTTTGGATTTAAGAAGTTTCCTTTTTCCGCATTAATATTTCAGCTGAATTTATTCAGGTTGAAATAACTCAATCCTTTATGTTAACCAGTTGCAATTTAGACAGAAAAAACTGCTCACAATTGAAAAGAACTTCTCAAAGTTGGTGTGTAATCTTATCACAGTGCTTTTGTAGTCTAGATGCATCTGGCTATGAGGCTGTAAAGGTAACTTCTACTGCAATAGCTGCTGTGCCAGGCTCTGTATGCTGGAAAAGGAAGGTGATACAGTGGAAAGAAGATGGGAAAGTTAATCCCAGAAGCCAGTAATCAAGTCAAGGCTGTCATAATTAGTAGCCGTTACCAAGGGAAAAACTGCTTTACCCTTTTGGACTTAATTGTTTATTTATGCAATCAAGATATTTATTATAATTCCCATCCTATAGGTCTCATAAATATTTAACAAGATTGTGCTTGAAATGAGCTGAAAACCTAAAAACATTACCTTGTATGATTATACGTAATATTCTGCAATGGCAAGTATAAACAAATACTTCATATCTAAGAAACAAAAACTCAAGATAATTTTTTAGGTTTTATATGTTCTCTAGCAGAAACAGTGATAAATCATGCATTAAGTTATATACCTACAAAATGCATCACCTGGGAAGTTCCGATAATGATATTTTTTTTACTTTATGAGTGTTATAATAAATTTTTATGCCCACAGAAATTCTTCACCCATGTTATTGTCCATAACAAAGGCAGTAATTCCCCTAAATTTTACGGGCGGGGGGGGATATCATAAGCACATGCAACATTTGAGCAAATGATCATGTCAAAGACTTAGTCTCAGTCCCACTTCAGATAGCATCTTCCACACAGACCTGCCTCTTTTTCCAAAATTCTTACTCTCCTCCAAATGGTCTCCTGGGGCCTCTTCTGGTATAGCAATTATCTGAGCTCAATAAAACCCAGTTAGTACCTAGTAACAGAATATTTTAGCCCGATTATGTGTCATTTGGAAAAATAAGACTTAGTTGAGAGTTGGGACCAAAGGCCAAAAAGAAGGTAAGTGAATTATTGGAAATGATTTGGGTAAACCAGGGGTCCTGGGAGTCCAGGGAAGCAGTTAAGACAAACGAGAAATGGGGAGAAAGGGAGAAACCGGGACCATGGACAGAGACATTCCTGGAGGGTTTGGGCCCTGGTCAACTTAGTGAAATCACTTCAGCACACACAAAATGGGCAATTTTAAAAGGAAAAGAAATGTAGAGGTAGGTGATATAGACATCTACAGAGTGAGAGAGAGAGAGTTCCAGAGAGAGATAATGGGGATAGAGGGTGGGAAGGCTGAATGCGCCCGCTGGGACCTCTGTGGGGGCAGCAGCCTGTCCTGCCTGGAAGCAGTAACTCCCTCCTTCGAGCATCCCCAGTGACACGGGAGTTTCCTATGGCCACCACCCAGCCTTAGGGATATCTCCAGGGAAAGCCCCCATCAAACCATAGCTTTCTCTCAGTTTTAATAAGACCAGCTCCCAATCTATGCTAGACTCTTGTGTCTAGGCTAGATGAGAAGTGGAGATTCTACACGGAAGGAACACATACCCAACACGAGGAGAGGACTTCATTCTCACTTTAAGGGGTGAAAGGAGCTAAGCCATTGAGTCAACTCTCCTCTCCTAAGACAAATTATTATAAAATTGAGGTAACTGTGCAACTTGTTTCTTCCAATCAGCAATAAAATGCATATTATAGAAATAGCAAATTACAAAAAGTTTCAGTTTCACTAGCTATAGATGAATTTGAAACTGAATTGGTCTAGAGAGAATGAAAACAGTCTTGAGAACCTCAGTGACTTTGAAATACATTTCACTCGTCATAACAGGAAGTAGAAGCCGCGAACGAGTCAGTTTCAAAACGATCTCACATGTGGTTTTTTCACTGAGTGAGTGAGAAAAAAAGAAAAAAGAAAAACCAAGCGACCAGTTGAACACTCTATGAGAGTTTTTCGATAGGGGAATAAGAACTTGCTATCCTAAAAAAATGCCGAGAGCCTAATAAGGTAATTTTCTCATAACAAATATCCTGACCTCAAATAAGACATTTCCTTCACACTAGCTGTGATGCTGCCTGTCAAAGCAAAGACTTACTCTCAAATCAGAATTTCCCCAAGCTGAGTCCTAAAATTTGGAGGAAATGTTTTTGTCAGTTTACATTTCCTTTACACCAAGTAAGAGTACCTTTCTTCTACTTTTTAGTTGGCTAAAAAAAAAAAAGCAATTGGCCACTAATTGCTCAAAAGCACACTTCAATATCCAAAGGCAGGAGAAGAAGACAGCACAGCACCCTCCTCCGATACTGAGTCATGGCGCCTACACCCAGGTCACAAGGAAGCTATTCTACTGCCTTTCTGGCTACATAATAGCTGTTAGTCTTGCAGGTACGCTCCACCACATGATGTAGTCAAATTCACAGGAAGAATGTCAGGCTCTACATCAACCTTCAAAATGTTCCTGGTCGTTAGCAAAATTATTCCGTGATATTCAGGTAAGTGGGCCCAGACTTGTGGCACTGATCTGATTTCTCTAATATAAATCTTCATCTCATTGTCAGTTTCAAGCCACAAAAGTTCCCGGGTATTTTCGAGGCAGCTAATTGGCACACCGACAGACGACCCGTCAGGGTGTCGGAAGGGGCGCTCTGGGGCGCCCGTTTCAGTGGTGCTGTGGAGCGTGCCCGGCTCAGCTGCGAACCCTCGGCCCCCACCCACCCCACCCACCATTTGTACCATCTGGGTTTTGAAATCCCAGCCAGTTTTGAAAAACACCTATGGGGTTTGATACCCGCGCCACTGTCTGGAGCAAGGGGCGGACAAAGGAGCCCTGAGAGCCCTACGGGCCGGCGGCTGGAACAGTCCGCACTGTCCAGGAAAGACCTTGTTCTGGGCCTCACACAGCCTCTGGCTGTCCCCTTGGGAGTCTCACCTTGGAAGACTTTGCTTCTGATCTCTGACTCATCCCTGGGCCCGTCAGCCCCCGCTCCTGCCCAGACGCCCCCAGCAGGATGTCTGACTGCTTGGTGCCTCCACCACTACCCGGAGCCCTCCTGCCAGGCTCTGGGGCTGGTGCCTGTGCCACCTCGAAAGCTGGCTCCTCTTGCTGTTGCCTCTGGCCCGGCCCAGCAGGGCCTCCGGGCTGCTGCTGGCTGCTGCCGTGCACACCTCAGCAGCGCCACCTGTGACTTCCTCCAGCTGCCACCAGAGTTGGGTCCTGGTCCACTGCCTACCCGTGTGCTACCAGCTCCAGGCTCTCATCAGCTTTTCAAGAGCAACTTTCGTTTTTTTAAGATTTACGTATTTATGCATGCAGAACTGGGGTACAGGCCAGAGGTGCAGGGGTGGGCGGTGAGAGGCTTCACCAGAGACAGAGTGGAAGCAGAACAGGCTGACTGATGAAGTACACTGCTGAGGGGAGCAGGGGGGAGACAGGAGAGGTCTGCCGCACCCTGTGGGTCACCTCCGGGGCGAGGGATGGAAATAGTGCTGCAGTAGCTTCCGAGAGCTTCCTAAAGTGGTGCTTTAACCCAGTGCGCCACCAGGGAGAGCCCTCATGAGCAACTTTTAAAGATTTGGGCTACTGGACACTGCAGGTGCTGAGGTCGGGTAAGTGGCCTTGGAAGTGCTTTCCTTTTTCTGACATCTGTCACAGTGTCTCCCTGGTAGAGGCCAGTTTTTGGTACAAGCTATTTGAATTGTGCCTTGCACTTGTAGGGACACAGGTACAACCTATGAATGGTGACATTCTCTGGGCTTTCAAAGTTTTAGGGTTTCTCAAAAAATAAGTTTCCCTTCCTACCAAATTAAATCCAGCTTTAAGACTTGTCACTATCAATTTCACACCTGTGAAAATACATGAAAAAACTTGCTTCATTTTTTCAGAAAGTGAATCACCTTAAATATTCCTTAATAAATTAACTTAAAAAGAAAATCTCTAGTAGTGAATAACAGAGCCAGATAATAGACTTTCTAGTAATATTAGAAATAGTAATAGAAAACAAGGAAAGTTGTAAATATATATGTGTATCTTATGCTCACATGATGTTTACCAAGTACCAGACACTGCTAAGTTATTTTACAAATATTCATATTGAATTCTCACAACATTTATGACTTAGGCAATATTATTATTCCCATTTTATAGGAAATAAAGCAAATGGAGGTTTGCTTTTTTTTCCAAAGTAAAAATAATAATAATAATAATAATAAAATTCAAATATTTACTGCAAGAATAAAGCTCAAAAAGTAGCAGACTAATTTATTTGTTGATAAATAAATTTATTTTGTTGATATTATGTAAAGAAATAGGATGTGGAATCAAAGACTGGAATTGAGAGGAAGCTGGGTGTAATGGCGCCTACTACATGGAAAAGCACTAGAAGAAATAAAAGGGGACTAGGAAGAAGGGGGACAGAGAAGAGAGAGGAGTGAAGGAGCCGGGAGAGAGGAAACAAGAAAGGAATGAGGACAGCCAGAGGCAGGGAGGGACGAGGAGGAAGAGAGAATTTAGGGAGTGAGGAAAAGCAAAGTGTTAAGGAAAACCCTGGAATTTCTAGAATAGAGGAAGTGACTTCACACTATAGAACACACAGTTGGTGTTCTATATAGAGATATTCAACAGCAAACATCTTGAGTTTGATGTGCATGAGTCAACCAAATGAAAATGTTCAACATATCAGTATGTAAGGGTGTAGGGACTTGGAGACCATGTGGAATAAAGCTGCAATGCCTACATTCAGTGTACAGGAAGCAGTGTGTTAGCTGCCAATCATATCACTCAGAGAATGTATAGAAGGGGGTCGAAGTCACAATCCAAGCACCAATATTTTAGACAAAATAAAGAAGAGGAGATTGAGCAGAACAGCCAAAGGAAAAATAAAGAAAATCAGGAGGGCGCTGATTCATGTGATTCAGATGAAGAGATTCATGAGAAAGTGTGGTCTATAAAACATCAAATTCTGTGCATATAAAAGAAATAGTTCATTAAGGATCTCAGCAAGAACAGTTGGGCTAGAAGACAAATGCCGGTGGGTTGGAAATAAATGGAAATTGAAGAAATAAGCACAGCACTGGAGACTGCTCTTTCAAGAATCTTCACTAGAGCGGAAATAGCATAGTAATGGGAGGACACAGTGCCAGGGACAGAGATTGTTAAGCTTCCTTCAAAAACATACTCATGTGCTTGTAACCCTGCTGCGTGAAATATACTAAATACTGACTCGCTGACGGGGTGCTGGCATGGAATGTGGTGCATCGACATAGCAAAAGGTGCAACTATCACTATACTCAGATCCTAATCACTGAGCGCACACTTACTCCTTCCCTCTTACCTTCTGAAATTATTTTAAAGGAAAAAAGATGCAAATATAGTTGAGGCTCCCTACATAAACCTTTCCATTTCTTTCATTCTGCACAAGCGACACTTAGCAAAATAGGAAGTTTATCACCCATGCCATTTTAATTTTGATAAATAATATGTAGCAATATTATAAACAATAATAATACCGATATTTAATGTTGTATTTCTCAGATATGTTCCACCTTCATGCATGTAATGCTAGTCATTTTCAATGACCTGCAGTAAACAAAAATGACTCAATTTGTTCATACATTCACATTGATATAACTTAACTTCTTCACCATGGCCCATTGCCACAATAATGCTGCAATTAAAAGGTTGTATAATTTCCACAGTGCACATGGGTATGTGTTTCTCTGGATTAGAGTATCTGAGGGTGGATGGAAATGATCGTAGAATGTGTACATCTTTAACTTCTCAGATACTCCCGAACTTCCAAAATCTTACAAACCTGGTAGATGTCACCATCTATATGTCCTCAGCCATGCAAAAGCTGATTCAACCACAGAGTGTAGCAACCACCACATTTATTTACAGGGAGGATTTGGACGAGATTAAGAACAGAGCATTTCTAAAGTCATGGTATCTGCAGTGTCCAGTAATTCAAACCCAAAGCTGTTTGTGCAATATGGAGCTGCTCATCCCCTGATAAGTGGTGGGCCAGGACTCAACTCATGGTGGCAGCTGGAAGTAATCACAGGTGGTACAACTGAAACAGCATGGCAGTAGCCAGCAGAAGTGCTCCTGAGATGAGGCTGGGAGGCATTTGGGGCAACGGTAACCAGAGACATCTCTAGAGATGGCACAGGCACAGGCCAGCAGTGCTGGTCAGGAGTGGTCAGGTCCTGCAGGAGCAAGAGGTGGCGGTCAGGTAGCAATGCCAGAGGATCCGACAGCAGCAGGCAGGAGGTGGAAGCAGAGCTGGTCTTGGCAGGAAGAGAAGCCTCTCCATGGACCCAAGTGAGTCAGAGATGATCTTCCCAAGCAAGTATTCAAAGCCACCTGCTGCCCAGTGGCTTTTAGGGTCCCTCCACTCCTCCTGCTGCTCCCAACAGTGGGGCAGGTTTCAAACTGATTGGCACACTTTCAAAACTAGCTTGGGCTTTCAAAATTAGCACGGGTTTCAACACCCAAGCCCCACCTGCACACAGACCCAACCCTCACAGCATGCTGCCATCTCATGCGTGTGACAGGGGGGTGCAGAGGGCACAAGAGAACCAGGTACACTCCACCACTCCAGGTTGCTGAAGGGGTTACCCAGAGCCAGGCATCCTCCGTTGCACCCCAAAGCCCGAGTCCTGGAACTCCTCTTACTCTGCCAACATGTTTTCCCAACAACCCCACTTATGATACATATTTGGTTTACAACATGAAATGTTTTTCATTTGCGAGGGACCATTTACCATGGCCATAAGAAGTAGGATAGCCCTCTATCATTGGCGGGGTGGGGGGCATGTTTTACCCTCTTAACCTGGGGCCAGAGGCCAGTCCCTCTGTCCTCAGAAGATGTGTTCATCAGACCCATAGCTCAGTTACATCAGCTACTTCTCACTCCTGACTCAGAAAGATGATGGTGGTATTTTTAAGCCTAACTGAGTTTGATTTTCTGTGTTTCTGTTTATCTGTCATTGTTCTACATTTGCAGCAGAACAGAAAGTCAAAGTGGGAGCTCACAGAACTCTCATTCAATAGAAACTAGTGACTTCAATGAGATGGTTCCATCTTAAAATCTCAGTCCAAATAACAGGTGAGGCCCTACCCATAGTGACCTCAATATACTACCAACACGTCTTTCCTAGCACCTTAAACATTTTCTACTCTACAGAAATCTTGGGCACTTTAACAACACCATATGTTTTGATTGCTTTGTTTCCTTTGATGAATGCTTTCTTGTCCCTTCAGACACAAATGTCAACTCCACCACGAAGTCCTCTGTGACTTCGAAGGCAATTA